CACCTTTCAGGGCTGTTTGGGGGATAAAATAAGATGATCTATATAAAGCATTTAACAGAATGCCTGGCTCAAGATAAGAACTTGAGAAATGTTTAAAATAAATCTAGGGGTGACTGTTGACTAATTATTTCATTTTTCATTTTTAAATGACAGTAAACTCATCATTTTCAGAAGGCTGTTGAGATGAAGTTATGTAATGTATATGAAGTAGAACTTGGGCCATTATTGCTGTTTTTGTTATTCTTATGAGCAATGCTTCTGAAGCTCTGTTGCAGGGGAGCATTTAACAGTGCCAGTGTTCTTGATTTCCAGACCAGGAGATAACAAAGGAAGCGGGGCTCCCTTAACACATCATAATAAAGTTTCAATACATGGGACAACTTATCTTCCCTGTTCTGCCACTGCCACTCCCTCCCCACCTTTCCAGGGACTGACAGGTGATTCCTAACCATCAAGGTACATCAGAATTGTCTGAGGAGCTATTTTTATTTTTTAATAGTATAAAAAGGAACTTTATTCACATAGTAAAAAAGAAAAAATATTACAGAAGGGTATAAAATAAAAAGCAAACGCCTGTCCCCTCCAATCTCATACTTCTTAACTATCTTAAACCTTTTCTGTGTTTGGTGATTATGGTGGTTTCCACCACATTTCTACATAATATGCCTAAGTCTCTTTTTCTTGATCAGCTTGAATCCCAGCTGTGACTCTACATTAGAAAGATGATCATCATCTCATACTACTCTGCACATCCAGTCCTCAGTGTTTGTTACTTGTGCCATCATTTGGAATTATTCTCATGAGTACCTTTATAATTTTAATACATTGAACCTTGATTTTTGATTCACCAGCATTAGAGCTTTATAAAACTACAGGTGTCCAGTTTCCTCTCCAGGGCTATGGAATGACAGTCCTTAGGGATGACTATTTTGCAAAAGCTCTCCAAGGTATTCTGATGTGTCCCTCAGGTTAAGGACCTCTATCCTGCGAGCCTGCAGTACACCAGCCAGGTCATCAGTGCTTGAATGAGATAGTAGGCAGAGCATTCGTATCATGTCACACATTCATCAGACACACGTGGGACAGTGTGAAGTGCCATGAAGGTGCCAAAACAGCACACAGGAGCATAGTGACACAACATCTCCAAGAGCTCATTGGTCACAAAGTGTTGTTTTTTTTTTTTTAAGATTTTATTTATTTATTTATGAGAGAGCGCGCCAGGGGCAGAGGGAGAAGGACAAGCAGACACCCTGCTGAGCACGGAGCCCAACACGGGGCTCGATCCTAGGACCCTGAAATCATGACCTGAGCCAAAGGCAGATGCTTAACTGATTGAGCTACCCAGGTGCCCCCAAACCCTATTTTAGATGAGAAACAGAGTCACTCTATGAAGAGCAGCAGCTGGTACAGCTCTGCAGGGACAGTCTTAAGGAGCCTGGATTTGGGAGACCTGGATTCTCATAGTGAATAACTTGAACCATCTTGTGCATTGATTTCAGTTTTATTCAATAGTACAGTGTACAGAGCAATGGACTCAGTATTTTGAGGCATGTTATAAAATAGGCAAAATGGCTCAGATAGAGTGGTGATGGTTAAACTTCATAGTTTAAATCCTTAATAAAATGTAATTAGCAATGTTACATCCTTACACATATTATATAATTAATATCACAGATAAAGCAGATAAAGAAAAATATTCTAAATACCAAATGTTACCCAAGGTTGTTGGTTTTTTTTTTTAATAAAAGGGCAAAGAAAATTAGAAAATGATTTAATTAAACCTTGTTTGATGAGCATGCTCCAGAGAATAGAATGAGTGAGTTGAACCTTGCAGTTAACTGGTGAGCAAATAGTTTAACGCACTTATTTCCCCTTCTTAGTGAAGAGTACTTGTCTATACTGGCAGAGTCCATTTTCTTGCATTATGGAGAAATCAAGCCTAGTCACTCTAAAAGACTCATTTCTTAGTGATTAAGGACATTGTAGGGATTCAAGATTACCATTCCAGCATGAGATCTTACATGGGAGGGAAAATGCCAGCTATTAGATGAATATGCATTGTCTACAAGTTATTCCCTAATGTAGTTTCTTTTACCTGACATCACAGGTAGGAGTTTATCGTCCTCTGTTCATTCTTTCCCAGGGGAGCACAAGGAGTTCCGTTAGAGGGTCCCGTCAGTTTGATTAAACATAACCGAGATTTGACTCCATTAACCTTGTAGTCAGACATTCTGGTGATGGAAGTGAGTGACATTTATGTTCAAATAAACTCTGCCGTCCATTTACTATGGCCCCCGTTATGTTCAAGAGGGGGGCAGTTAGTACAAAATGCCCAGGAGCTGGTTATAGATTTTCAAGTGACAGAAGATGACTGCGGGGGAGAATTTCCATTTGATTCTCTCAATATTTAGTTTATGAACAAGATGTTCTTCTTAAAGTTCCCTAAAAATGATGAGAAGTTTCTCAACAATGCGTTAGCTTTTAACCAGTGGTGGGATTTCTCTTAGATGGTATAATGTCTTCTAGTATATATTCTGATTCCATCTGTACCAACAACTTGCTAGACCACTGTGCAAATCAGTAGACGTCTGCAAAAGTCTATAAACTGTGGCTATGGGAAAAGTTAACCTGAGCTTCTCTTTCCAACCAATTAAAACTGTCCACTGGCATTTGCTGCCTGCTTATCATATTTTCCCTGCCTAATTAGCATTCTGGCTTGAGAAAGTCTCTGGTTTTTATTAATTCACACAGCAAATATATATTGAGAATCTGATCTGTACCAGGCATTGCTCTAGATGCCAGGCTCCAGGACACATCAGTGAACAAAATAGAAAAGGTCCCTGTCCTCATGGAGCCAATACTCCAATAGGAGGAGGAAGACAAAGGACCAAATGAGTAAAAGATATTCTCTCAGATAGGGATAAACCCTCTGGAGAAACTTAAACAGGGCACTGAGAAGGAACTGGCTGGACTGGGTGGTGGGGTGACATTGGTTTCTTCTAGAAGCAGGACTTAAGACAAGGATTCAAGTACAAATGGTTTCTTTGGATGCCAATGAGGAATCTGGAAAGTTAGGAAGGGACATGATGGCATCCAGTAAAGGTGCACAATCAAGACACATACCCCTGCGGGAGCCTGATCCCTTAAGGGACCTCTAGACATTGATGTAGAACAGGTCTCAGAGTTGTCTCCACCACCCCCCCCACCCCACCAACTCTCTCACCTCCAGCCACTGGAGAAAGGAATCTGGAGTATTTACCTATTAGCTTTCCATCTGTCATTGGCTGAATGCTTCTCTGAGTGTATTAATTCCCATAGGGTACAAGTAATAGGTATTTGCGATTAGTGTAAAAACTGAAATATCAGAGGCGCCTGGGTGGCTCAGTTGGTTAAGTGTCTGCCTTCCACTCGGGTCATGATCTCAGGGTCCTGGGATTGAGCCCTGCGTCAGGCTCCCTGCTCAGTGGGGAGTCTGCTTCTTCCTCTCCCTCTGCCCCCCACCCCATGCTCTCTCTCTCTCTCTCTCTCTCTCAAATAAACAAATTTTTTTTAAGTGAAATATCAGTGTATAAAGGGGAGTGGAAATGAGCAGGGTACTTACTGGCAGCATCTACCACAGGGTGGAAATTGGATCTTTAGGTAAGGGGGCCAGGAAAGACCTCTCTGAAGAGACTGCATGTTGGCTGAGATCCTAAAGACAGACAGGAACCAGCCAGGGAAAGCACACTTCTAGGCAGAGAAAATAGCTAGGACAAAGGCTCTAAGGAGAACTGAGCTTGGGTGACTTATAAAACACAAATAATAAACAATCAGAACTTTAAAGGCACTTGGAGGGGGGTTGAGGGAATATCTCTGAGTCACAAAGTTGTTCATGACTAGATCTTTTAAACAAGGAACTAGATAAGTCAATGAGATATTAAGAGACTTGGACAATGTCATAGGACTTCATTGTATATACTATGCTACATATTTACTTGTTTGTTTATTGTCTAGAATGTAAGCTTCATAAGAGAAGGAACTTGTTTTATTCACTATTAGAATATGCACTAGAGGTTCTCAAAAATGTTTGTTGAATGATGAGTAAAGACTTTCAGAAGACCTTAGTTCTAGTCCATGTTCTGCCACTGACTCACTGGATGACTTGGTGATCAATTCTCCGACTTTATCTCGGTTTCTTTATATGGAAAATAGACATAGAATTTCTACCTTATAAAGTCATAAAGTGAAACAAGGCCATAGATATGAAAGTACGTGCACTATGGAATATATTATACAAATACCAGGTTTCCTTTTTAAGTCAAAGGCCTCCTGAATTTGAATGAACTTCACCAAATGGGGAGGAAAGATTTATTCCTGGGAAAGGATCCTTTGTGGATGTTAGAACTGATCAAGCCTCACCCGGTAGAGAAAAGCTAGTGTGTGGTACAGGAAAGAGCACGGAGGGAGGGATTGTCGGAATCCAGACCAGAATCCGACCTCTTCCACAGACTTGCTGGTGACCTTGGGGAGCCCACAGGAGCTTGCTCCTGACGGACTTCAGATTCTTCTTCTCTCAAAAGGGGAATGTGGGTGGTAGATAGTTCCCTCCTTATGTGTCTATTCTGTTCCATATTTGTGGCATCATAGTAACCCCACTCAGTCTGCACCACACACTTGACGTGCATCATCACATTGCTTTTTCTCCCCAACTTCCTAACCTTTGTTATTCAGACAAGAAACCATCAAGCAACTTAGCCCAATGTAGTTTAACTAATGGCTGTGAATAGCAGAGCCAGCACTTCAAACCAGGCACAGCTGGCTTCTGAGCAAGTGCTCTTAACCACTGTGCTAACTGTATACAAATTAAGTGATAACCTTCGGAAGGAAGGGAGGCACACATGTCTCTCCATTCAGCCAGTTTCACCTTATGAAACACGATGGAAATCCTGTGACCCTCTAACATGATTAACTTGACTGATCCAGGCAGCATGTTCTGACTCTTTCCCCTCCTCCCTGCACAGGGTTTCATGGATATTGACTTAAACAAATTCAAGGAGAGTGGAGCAAATGTTACAGGTTTCCAGTTGGTGAACTACACAGACACCATCCCAGCCAAGATCATGCAGCAGTGGAAGAATAGCGATGCTCGAGACCACACCCGAGTGGACTGGAAGAGACCTAAGGTGAAGGGAAGGGCAGCAGACAGCAAAGAACCAACCTGGCCCCTTTCCCTGCCCCAGATTTCTGGGCAGTCTTAGACTTTAGGAAAGGATAGCTTTCTAAAAGGAGCAAGCTAAGGAAAATATATACATAAAAATTAAGGGTATGCTGTAAAGGTTGGACAATCCAGAATGACAATGTAAATTTAAAAAGATAAATATTTTGTTTTTCTCTTGTGTAAGCAAAATTCAGAAGCTAGCAATCCGGGGCTTGTATAATGGCTTCACAATTGTCAAACACTCAAGCTTTTTCTGTCTTCTTGTTCTGCTGTCCTCAGGATATGCCTGCTGCCTTATAGCCCAAAATGCCTGCTGAGGATCCAACCGTTAACTCAGTATTCTATCCAACAGGAAAGTGAAAAGGAAAATAAAAAGCACAATGACTTCTTTTAAGAACCCCTTTCAGTAGTCACACAGATCTCTTACTCACTTGCTATTGACCACATCTTAGAAACCTAGCCCTAGCCAGCTCCAGGAGAAGCTGGAAAATGGTGTCTCTATTCTGGGCAGGGCCTCCATGTTGCACAGCTCCAGGAGGGATGCTGCTTGCATTCATTTCTTTGTGGATGGAGCCTTCTTGAGTTGTGCATGGAACTAGCCCTTTATCTGTTCAGCCACATACCCAGCCAAAAATCAGAGAAATCTAAGCAATATCCAGCTCATCTCTGCCTCAGAGCATCAACTCCCAGTTATGCAGGGCATCTCCCTCTCACTCCCCAGCCATGAAGCTCTAAATCCTGCAGCCAAAATCTATTTTGTTTGCTATTCGATAGTGGTTTAGAATAAGGACACCAGGTAGTTTTTCTTTTCCATGTCAGACCCAATAGTTTGGCAGAGGCTGTGTGGAACACTGTGTTGAGGATTCTGAGGCCAAATTTGTTTATCTGGAGCAAACAGGGAATCCTTGGCAACCTTCTCTTGCCCCTCAATTTCTAAAGCGAATGGCAAACCATTTAACTGAGATGCTTCTCATCCCACTCTTGCTCAAACTGATTTAGCAATTCACAAATGAAGATTTATTTCCGATATGATTTCACTCATGTGTGGAATTTAAGAAACAAATGAGCAAAGGGTGGGGGGGGCGGGGAAGAGAGAGAGAGAGGCAAATCGAGAAAACAAACTGAATGGTTACCAGAGGGTGGTGGGTTGGTTGGGGGGATGGGTGATATACGTGATGTGGGTTAAGGAGGGCACTGGTCATAATGAGAACTGGGTGTTGTATAGAAGTGCTGAATCACTAAATTCTACACCTGAAACTAATATTACCCTGTAGGTTAACTAATTGGAATTTAAATAAAAGCTTAAAAAAATGAAGATTTATTTCAATATGAGCTTAAGCAAACAAAATCACAAATGTGCTTTAAAGCAATGAACAAACCACATACCAGTTAACATGTGAATACCACACCCAACTTCCAAAAGATCGCGATTATAAAAATAACCAAATGTAATACCTATATTTTTTCTTTTAAAACGTGAAAGAATCATAGTCAAAAACTGGAAAAATACTCATACATTCATTCTACAACTCTCTGTTGTGAACTTAAAATGTGCCAGAGAACAAGCTAGGATTGAGGACAAATTAATGAAGAAGACAGACACGAGTTCCAAGGCTAGAAAATAGTGTCCTGGATTGTTAGCCTGCTTTGTTTCATCAATATCTTAGCCCCCTTTTAGGCAAGAGGGGAAAAATTGAGAGTTATCATGAATAAGCATAAGGGGAAAGTGTGCGGGATATAAACCTGCCACTTGTGAGGCACATGTGGAAATAATTAAGAGCTTACCTTTCTTGGATTATTTTTTCTTTCACTGTCACAAGAGATAGTGGAGTAAATAGTTCCTCTTGGCTCCCAACTGGTGCCTGTAACACAGAGAAAACCAACTGGTTTTCCACGGACTGTATCAGAGCCGTAGATGTGCTGCATTTAATCTACACATTCTTTTTCCAGTTGGAGCAACATTTTAAAATTGCCAGATTGCACACAAAAATCTAGAATTCTGGCTTCCCTTTGAAAGTCATAACTGGCAACACAGAACTCACAACACCGGCTAATGAGGGGGAGCAGCAACCACCGTCTAAGGCACAGACCCTTCCTGGCTCACCCCTGCCCCAGACTCCCCATGCCTGGCCCACTGCTGGCATTCTCATCACCAGGATGCCCTCTCCCAGACAGCTCCCACCTGCCTCCCTATCAGCTCTCTCTGACACCTGTCTCCATTCCTCCCACCAGTACACCTCTGCGCTAACCTACGATGGAGTGAAGGTGATGGCTGAGGCTTTTCAGAGCCTGCGGAGGCAGAGAATCGATATATCCCGCCGAGGGAATGCTGGGGACTGCCTGGCTAACCCAGCTGTGCCGTGGGGCCAGGGGATCGACATCCAGAGAGCGCTGCAGCAGGTGAGGCCAGCAGAGGCTGCCCCTTCTCATGGGAGCCTTGTAGGGGATGGCAGCATCAGTTTCAGGTGGGAGGTAGCTATTTAAAAGAAAAGGTAGAGAGCATGCCTAAAGTTTGGACAACCACTGCATTGTGTTGGTGGCTCTTGGCATACATGGAAGCTCATGTAGAATTTTTTTTTTTTGTATGGAATTCATGGGGCACTTAGGTGGCTCAGTTGGTTAAGCAGCTAACTCTTGATTTTGACTCAGGTCATGATTTCAGGGTGGTGGGATCGAACCCAGCATCTGGTCCTCACGCGGGGGAGTCTGCTTCAGGATATTCTCTCTCTCTCTCTCTCTCTCTCTCTCTGTCTAAAATAAATAAATAAATCTTTTTAAAAAATAGTACAGAATTCCTGATAGTGTAAAAACTGTATTTTCTGCTTAGGGATCATGCTGAAAAGGGAAGCCAGTGATTCTGCAGTTGGAAAGGGGACTTGAAATACGTAGGGTTGAAACCCAACCACTTTAGCAGTCTCCTGGAGACTCCTCACTCTTGCCCTGATTTTCTGGATGTCTTCATTACCTTTGCTCTCTGGGCACATTTCATGAGGGGACCCTGACAACGTTTCTCAGTACTTGTGATCCTATTTTCTTGCTTCTCAGCATTGTAATCATCAATTTTGTTTTCACAGAAGAACAGTTAAAGAACAGGGATAGAAAATGGTCATGCCCATTCCAATCAATTGGCTATGCAAAGGATTCTTCGGCTGTATAGATTCAACAGGGAAGAGTATAAATATTCAATTAATGAGATGTCTGCTGTGCAAGCAGGATGAGACAGTGGTACACGTGGGCGTGTATTTAACATTCTTGGTTTGGAAGCTTCTGGGAGCTTGCCCTCAGCTTTATCACTCTCAGAGCTCCTGGAAGTCTCTTGAAGTCTCTAGAAACACCTCAAGTCCAGGCTGTGATTCTTGAACTACAGGTGGATAGATAGCACCATATGATGCCTCTGATGCCTCCTGATAGAAAGGCTGTATTTCCAGAGGGGACCAGGCAAAAAGGGTTGTGCCAACTCAAAGGAATGTCAGAGTATCAGGCACAGTGGCAAGCCAGCACCAGCAAAATATTCAGATGCAGAGGCCACTCATGACCCACCATGACCCACCTCCGCCCCATCCAGTGGACTTGCCTGGATAAGACCGGTTTTACTTTTAAGACTACATTCAACAGAAGGTGAATTGGGGCTCCCAGGGGAGGAGGTGAGCATTTTTGAATGAGGGAGAAATATAGAGCAAAATGCACAGCCATCCCCATTTGTTTTCCAACCACACATGCGTAGCTCTAGCAATCTTCACAACCTGGAGAAAGAGATGAGAAAGGAACATCACCACCTGTTCCTCTGCTCAGATGAGGTGCCTTTACATGGGGGAGAATATGTTGTTCTGTCCTCTGGAATGAAGCTAAGCAGCAGCCCTGTGACTACAGGAGGAACATGCTAAGGGGTCCGCCAGCAGCCCTTTCTGCCCTCCCCTGTCTCCATGTAGGGTGGTACCTTCACTGGGCAGCAATAGCAGACATCAGGCAGCAACCAGATGATGGCCAAAGATGCAGCATCCGCCTTCTGGCGTATTTAAAATGCTCTTCCAGACTCCACAGTCGAGACAGATTCTGTTTGCAATGTGAGACTGGTTTCAGAAGGTCCCAGGGACTTGCCCTTAGCTTCACCACACTTCCAACTCCTTTGCCTCTCCCATATTAATGCCGTCCCTGTCAGGAGGATATCCTGATGCCACCATGACAGTGACAAAGCCTAGGAGGCATTGTGGGTGGCAAGAAGGGCTCTGAATCAGGAGGCAAGAGAGCTGAGGTCCAAGTCCAGCTGGGCCCCTGGCTCTCTGAGTGACCTTGAAATACTCATTCAGATTTCCTACACACTTCCCTTTCTTTATCCATGACAATGAGAAAGAGAGACCACTCCCGAGTTTCAAATGGCTCCAAGCGTTCTAAGCATCTTTTTCTCTCTTATGGTCTAAAGCACGTCTTTCTGATAGTCAAGTATACTCAATCTTCTGCTTCTGTCTTCAGTGGGGCTTGGGAGGGGGCAAGTGCCTTAGTCAAAAGTATACGACCTCTTTTATATTGTCTTTGAGTCAAGACATGTGTCTGCCTCCCTGGCAGCCAGTCAGCTGCTCCCTGAGAGCCTGTTGTGTGTGCTGGTCTGGGGCCAAGTACTGGAGATAAAGAGAAGGCAAGACCTACCCCCAAGAAACTCTCTTCAGCCTCTACTGGGGGGTACCATGGGTGGGGGAGAACTAGCCATAAACATGAAACCCCAACATTCTGATCCTAAGATCAGCTGTTCAAATGGATTCCTTTTTAAATCTTTGTTAAGAATCTATAATCACCAAAAATGAACAATTGGGACTTCATCAAGATAAAAAGCTTTTGCACAGCAAAGGAAACAGTCAACAAAACCAAAAGACAATCAACAGAATGGGAGAAGATATTTGCAAATGACATATCAGATAAAGGGCTAGTATCCAAAATCTATAAAGAACTT